TTTAGAAAATATGGAGTTATCAAAAGATCGCTCTAAGTGAAATTTTCTTTGGACATTTTATTAGCAGATCCTATTATTTCTATTTAAACGGAGAGGATGTAGCAATGGTCCGACTAAATCACTGAGAATGAAGCAAAGCATCCCACTGTTGTACAATAGTCCATGCTTTATTTCTGCTGTAGGGTTAGGCATGAACAAACTGTGCTGACCACTTAGCTAGATTGAATGTGCTACTTTTGCATAACTGTAATATATTGAAATAGGACGGAACCACTAGCAATCGTAGGATCGTAGTCATTTCATATTTTGAAAATATCATTCTTGTTTGTATACAACAAAAAGGGCAGTTTCACGTAAACGTTAGGCCTATTATCGTTGGAAGACGCAACTGCCTGGATCTAAATACTATAAAATCTCGACTAGTTTTCGCAATACAATTTGTGAAAAGGAAATGGATATTGCTATGAAATTCTACAATTTGCCATCTTTTTCTGTGACTAACTACAGTTTTGCCGAAGCTTGGTAATAAGTCTTGATTTCTAATGCAATGTAGCGAAGTGATATGATTTGATACGCGATATGATTTTGCTCGTAGGGTAATGTGCAGATAACATCTGCTATACCTCAGGCTATGTGTTAAAAATCATGAATTAGTTCATACGTGGTCTGCTTCTCGATCTGTTATCTTACAAAAATATCCCGTCATTTGTGACACGAGAAGGTAATTATGCATAACGGACGACTGGCATATGAGGCATAGGATTGACGGGAACACTTAAGGACACGCCGAAAGATGAAACAGCTTCGACATGGCTATAAATCTACACTATAAACGAAGAATTAATATTGACCCTTTTCGCGTGTAAAAATAAACAGTTACGCTTGTTTTCCGCGGATAAGGATATAATATGCTGGACTGCGATTAGCTAAATTTGTCAAACTCCTGTCTCGACCCATATGTCGCACTGATTGATGATGCTCTAATTTAACAGATTTAGCGTGACTACCACGGTTCTGTGGAGTCTCCAATTACACAAAAACCGTCTTTGCAATTTTATTTTCAAACCTACTAATAAACCACGTATAGTGTGTACTCTTAAAAGCTTGTAGGATTTGCTATACGAACTACCTCAATGTTTAAAAAAAATTTCCTTAACAGTATTATCCAGTTAAAAAAGAATTATGTATGTTTCCCATAGAGAAGTAGAATATCGCAGAAGTGTTCCCTCAGTTGATGATGCAGTTCCGCGCTGATTAATTTTTTTTTTATAACTTGTTGAAATTGCTAGGAAGGACAATGATGTTCACGTTTAAAATGTTTGTCTGGACCACGGCCCAAAGATAATTGGGCCCAGGCAATCGGTGTGCCTGACATTGGTACTTGTACTCCGTACTCTTGTTTTACTGACAACCAGTCGGAAGGCCAAGTGATCTAATAACACTCAATTTGATCAGCAGGCTCGCAGAAACAGCTGAAGCAACCCTGAAAAAAACTCACTTTCCACAAAATCGAGGGTGCAGTGTGTGCACAAAACCGAGGGTGAAGTGTGTGCCGAGTATTTCTCGACACACAATGCTCTGTAGGTTTCTACAACGCAATAAAACAAATTCATTTACGAAACACTCACAGATGGCCTGCCAAACGTCGAAATGTAGGGAAAACAAAAAACAAGTGCGAGTGCACATTAAGCTCTGGCGAAAAATGCGACGCCGATGGCACATATGGAACACTTTATTTTTGGTCAATTTTTATTTCATTTCTGGATACCGTCCATCCACTACAGAAAATACCACATGACTATAAAAACCTTACTGCACATATCTTGCCTCCGTTTACAAAAAAAATTGATCAACAGCTTTACGAATTGTTACAAACAATTTTTAGAGTGCACTGACGACGGCATGGCATTTGCTCAATTTTGGTAAAATATTTTTGGTCAATTTTCGGGGACCGACCGACCGATCGACATCCAAGTGACTTATAGAAGCTTCTGTCAGAGCTTAAAAATCAGTGTTTATAAGGCACTCGTGATTTGGAATAGGTACAAACACATACGGTCGAAATACTGGTTTGCAGTTCAATTTGGAATATTCAAGCTATGTAATTCGCCTGGCGCTGTATCAATCATTAAAAGGGGGGATGGGTCTGTTAACAAAAGAACTAACCCAATAAAACACTCTAGTCTCAGTCAGTTCTGAGTGAGAATTGATTGCACATTCCGAATTGGAATACTTGAAGAAGTGCGTCTACACGCAGCCGCTTTCAGAATACGGTCCATGTTATCAACACATGAATGTTAGATGTTGATTCTCGTCACGTTCCATTTTGACACGCTGCGTCCAAATTCAACCTTGTCCACGGAGAAAGTTCACACACGCGATGGAAGATGACCGGTATACCCGACGCGTTTGACAAGGTGAAATCAAGGATAAAAGGTCTATTCAATTACGGAGACATCAAAGGTCGATTACAACATTTGACGGGGGACTGTCCTTTTTCAGAATTAGTCAATATGATAAGAAGCTCCCGTTGTGGGATACGTTCCTTGGTAATTGACCTACAATTTCAGTAATTCAATAGTGGAGAAAGGGAACTGAGTTCTAGTCAACTCTGAACGCAAAACATCAATACAGCTGTGATTGTTTTTCAGTGTATTTCACATGCCAGCGTAAATTCGTTAACTACAACCTGTTCAAAACATATAACAATATTACGTCAGAATGAAATCGGTTTCGAATGGCTGTTTTTTGCTCTCTTCATTACTATGGTTACATTTTAAGCGTGGAAAGGACAGAAATGGATCAAAACAACTGAAGTATCGTAACTAGCGAATTCAAAGCGAGAGGCAAACATCCCCATTTACGTCGGACTCCCCACGAACGTTAATTACTCTTCAAGAAGGCCAAGAGGGGTCAGTCTCTTTCCAGTCGCATTTTTAATTGATTCAGGAGTTGTGGCAAGGAGAAAACTTCCTGAGTCGTGGACACGGGATCCAATCTGGCCCGATGTCTAGTGGATGTATCACGGCTATCAAATGACATGGCGAACTGTCAGCGGTCTTCGCTATATAGGATTCGCTGAATTTCACCTGATTTGGTCAAGTACGTCATCGGATCACCACTTCAAAGTTTCCGGAGTGCAACCCCTTTTAACGATGAGCGTTTGAGCGGACGGGGTAGGGTATACGCGTCGCTAATTGCCTGGTTGGTTTGACGAAGCGTGCTGGCTGGGTTACCGGACTGATTTAAGCAATATGTCGGTTGCTTTGGCGGTTTCTGTACCAAAGGTGGTAAGAAAAAAACATGAAGATGTAATAAATAATCAACTGGATTCTCTGGAAACTTTTATAAAACTTGTCTGGCCTCCATGACTGATAACCGCGTTTCACTGAAAGAAATGTCATTTTCTCCGAAATTTTAAATGAGTTTTTGTGATTGTAGAGTTTGATTTTGTTTATATCTTTCTTTTTTATAAAAAAAATAGCGATCATAATGAGCCACGCAAAACTTCACTTAATTTTATTAATACTATCATAAACTTCATCATTTTGAAAATTGTTAAATTTCAATATCATATAGTTCCATCAAAAGCAAAGTAAAAGCATCATGAGAACAAAAAGTTGGTCTATTAAGATGAAAGCATGATATTTTAAAAAGTCGAAGCTTTTGGGGCAAGCCGAAATTTCTTTGTTGCAGCTGTTCAAACACTAGAACGACTAGAATATAAAGTGGCATAGGCTACCTGTTAACTTTGAGGACATTTCTTGACTTCAACTGCAAAATATAATGTTTGTATTAAAGTCGTCACGCAAGAAATCTCAATATAGTCGGCATTTCCTTTGATATAGTACAGTCTCGTTTAATGATAATTTGGGGATTAAAATCTCAAACAGTTGAAAAAAAAGTGCCAGATATTTTCTCGTCCTTCGTCTGTTCCTCCGACTTTGCCATGTTTACACAAGGCCCTCCCTTACCAAACCGCAATTTCCAGTTAACGTAAACACCTGAACCAAATGCAAAGGAAAGTCCCAATCGTTTTAATGAATTCTATCGGAAGCCCGCTTTCCACCGGCGCCATATTAATCTGGCTTTTGGGCAAAATCATTTATTTATTGTGCAGATGAGCAGCAACGTGAAGAATGGTTCAAATCACCCATATCACTCACACGTGCCTATACACGCGTAGAAAATGTCATAATACAAGATCTTTCGTTACTTCCCAATTAAGGATTCATGGGGTGGAGGAACTTGTAATAAATCAAGAAGCAGATAGTTCAGGAAACCCTATAGTAGACTGTAGACTGTCTATAGTAGACTCGCACGGAAACACATACCGCCTTTATTGTTATAAAGCTTGGAATCTTAACTTTATCCCTACATGGCAAGTATTGGTTTGATATTTAAAAGAGTATTAAATTATTCGTGTTCAAATAAAGGCATGTCGAAAACAAACTCAACCGATTTCAAGGAAACTCGATAATGCGGTACATCCGATGCAAACACGAGTCACACTTTGAGCGCGCTTTTTCAATAGGTACATACTTGCACGTGGATACAAAATTGAACTTGAAAATAAGAACAATATTGTGAATCCGTTTAAGATGTAGTCTACGTGGATCGAAACGAATAGGAAAACATGAAGTAAAAGGCAACGATATCGTCACATCATGAACATGATGAACCATTTCAACATTAGAAAAAATGAGCATGATTGATTTGTCTTAAAATTGGTTGAGTTTGTTCTTGACATGCCTTTATTTGAACATAAATTATTTCAAAACACTTTTGAAAATCAAACCAATATACTTACCAGGGATACAGATAAGATTCCAAGCTTTAAAATGTCATAAAAAATAATGGCGGTACGTCAACTCCGTGAAGCATTTTTAAGCATGATTTATCACATCAGTTCGAGAGTTTATGATGTCTTAAAATATGATCAATAGTTCTTTCTTTCTTTCTTTCTTTCATTCACCAGTGTTTTAATATTTTCTCATTTCAGAATTATTTTTTTCCGGATTTCGTTTTGGAGGAGCCTCAGTAACCATCAAAAACTGATTGAAGTAAGTTTAGTTATCAAAGTTCCGATTAGACGCTAGTCTTTCTGATAATTTGTCAGCGGCAAATATATACCAGCATCCAGAAGCATACAAACCTTGTGGCAATGAACGATTACTATAATTACAGCCTTGTGCTAATCAAGCCTGACCATTTCAGTTGCTTTAACAACGCTTTAGTAAACCCCACTCCGTCATCATGACGAACTGCTGTTTGAGGTCGGAAGCATAATACAGTCACAAATTTGGTATAAGCCTCCCTTAAATCACCCCAAACCTTTTACTCTACTTAATTGTGCTGCACTTCCGCAATTATGCAGTCAGGGATGTGTGACTCGTTGGTTTACGTTAAGATGTTCAATTATTAAACGCAAATTTGTTGAAAGAAACAGCTCATTATTTATTCAGCTTAATTCGACCAATCCATCATCAATAGACGTATATAAGCCTCCGAAAGAAACTTCTAGGAATGCTATCCTATTGATGACTACGGCACTAATGAAACATTTCCCTACTCAATCATGATGATTGCTGTGTATAATGTGTGGAATTCTTTGACCAACGTATAACAGCCGGATACCTGTGATTCATCATCATTGCAATAATGTTAACTAATAATCAACAGTAATGTTTGTTTGCTATAGTTGAGCAGCTCATGTTGCAGAGTGTTGACAAATTAATATTTGAAATGGAAAGCATCTATATAGCTTTATTTTGTCACATTTTCCCAAATGGATGAGATCAAAAATGTACAAGTACTAGCTGGGGAAGGAAATGTTTAATAATTAACGGCAGCATACGGTTTAAGAAAAAGATGGTGATAATTTCTATGGTCCGGGTTCGTAGCCAGCCTATTTCTACTTCTTCTACGGTGGTACTCAGCAACGTCCATAAGTTTGGATATAACGTCTATAGTGTGCGGTGTGCGTTTTTTTTTACTAACAAAATGGAACAAATCTAAGAAATTTGGAAATGTGAGGTACAAGTTCTATTAGGACAAACGATATCAAATCATGGAAGAAATTCTTTTACACTTATTTAAAGTTGAATACTCTTCAATTATGGATTTTGTTCTTCTTACGAAATTTTGATTTGTATATTTTTTTTTTTTTCGATTTTGGGCGTCTGAAACCCTCTGAAAAGGACCGCCTATTTACAAGAGCCGAATTATTATCGGGCTGCAAATAGCTCAAATTGTTTAAAGAAATAATTCAACAACCAAATGTCGGTAGATGTTATTTTTTCGATGTCTCAATCACTAAGAGTGAATAACTTTCAAATTGCTTGGAAAATAGCAGGTGAAAGAAATAATCCATTTTCGATGGAACACTCCAAACTTTAAAAACCAAAATGATTAAATATTGAAATCGCTCCATATCAAAATTGGGTTGGTTGTTCGACCCCCTCCCAACCCACCTCTGTAGCTTCATAGAGGTTAACCTCCGCCCCCCCCCCCCCCCACACACACCTCAACCTATCCGATGAACTGAAAAGTAACGATGGCAACCGCTAGGGGTGCAAAAAGTGTTCTCTTATTTTCTAAAGAGTGAAACAAAGATTGAAATAAACTTTCAAAAGAATCACTTCAGTTAAGGTTCGAGTAAAATCTCAATCTAGTCGCTGTAGCGAAAGTAACTTTAAATGTTCTTGTCCAGAGTGTAAATTTTCACTCTCTGGAAATGAGCCAGTACCTTCGTAAGTTAGTTTGCATCTTCGTCTTGGTTACAAATAATTCACTTTTGTTAGTTGTTATCGTTTATTGTACTGACAGGAGAGCTGTAACTTCATAAAGGGACCACAGGACTGTACTGCGGGGTGACATTTCCACGAAATGTAAGATTTACTGATATTCATGATTATTAACTGGTGCATGCGTTCCCTATCTGTGCAATTCCGATTTATTTGTTTTTGATTGGACTTTTCCTGGACCAGCTAAACAATCTTTTACAAATATTTACATCTCACGCAACATCAGTGTGTAGAATCACCAAAACAAATTACTCTAGATTCTACACTTTATTTGGGATAAGATAAATTGTTTACAGTGTTTTATATGCTGCAAAAAGATAACTCGGTGTTTATTCAGAATTGAAAGAGTCGTAATTCAATTTATTTTGTTTTTACATCAGCGAAGATTTTTGTCTCTTTTTGTATTGTATGACAGTTTAGCCCTGTGCAATATCTGTATGTCTGTTGCAGTTGTAATATTCGGAAGTGATTTATTTAAGAGAAAACAAATCTTAATAATATGATTCATTTAAATTCGATTACTAATTTTTTTTGTAACTGAAAAAGGGATTAGCATTAGGTATGATGTAATTAACCAGTCTCCTGATGACGAACAGAGCACATAGAAATATTGTTTACACGGTTTTACCGACAACCTTCCATTCTTTGTTCATGTTCACCATGCAAACCTACAAATCTCAATTAATTAAAAGTTGCTAACAGAACTCAACCCATCAAACCCCAACGGCATGTTTTGTTGGAATCTGTCAGGATGGGTACAGTACCCCTAAACTGACAGTCTTTTACATTGGGTTGGCACACTTCCAGAATCAAAGTCAGGAATATGTGTGTGCAGTTTCATATATGGTGTTGGAATTTGCCAGGATAGATATGGTTCCTAAATCGTGCTAGGGAGTTAGGGTTTTAAATTAACAGCAATATGAGTTCTTTTTTTCGACTTCTTCTTTTTTTTCTGCTTTTTTGTGGCTTTTCCGGGGGGGGGGGGGGGGGGCAAGCGCCCCGGCCCATCCTGGCGACGCCCATGCTAATCAATTATTCTTTCAGCGCCCATGCTAATCAATTATTCTTTCAGATGGAGCCACTTTGACATTAGGGAGGTTTCGCAAGAGAACGGATACGCTTACACTTTTAGCTATACGTATCCGTTTTTTAATTACGTGTAGCGAGCGAGATATGCGTGTCGTCTGCACGTTTAGCGGATAGTGAGTGGCGTATGACGTCATACGTGCAGACGACACGCATATCTCGCTCGCTACACGTAAGTAAAAAACGGATACGGATAGCTAAACGTAAGTGTAAGCGTATCCGTTCGCTTGCGAAACCTCCCTATTGTTAAATTTCATCACCTTCGTATTTTGGCTCACCATTTTGTAGATACACGCTCTACATTGTATTATCGTAACTTTGACATGATATCTTGTATAATAACATTTGTTTCAGAGTATAATGGAAGCCAAGGCCATGCTCGTGCTGCTCATGTTGTGTTGTTGGTGTCTAGTCAGTCAACAAGTCCACGCATCAAGACTAGACGGTCTCAGACAACAGTACAACCTTGACAGGGAGATCGATCCGGAAACGCAGCGGAAAAGGCGCCCACTGAGCTCGCTCAACAGGAGACCCGAGCAACACGACTACCATTTCGGCGGCACCCTCTTCCGTAAAAGGATGCTTGGTAATGGCGAATATGTGGTCCAAGATCCGGGCTACTACGCATTCGAAGACGAGTAAAGATGAGGCCTATACATCTTCAAGACAGATACGTAATTCCTACAAGACAGTTGACACCATTCCTTTGACAAGCCTTGCCGCATAGACCGACTTCATAATTGACTGCATGGTTGGCTGAAGAATTATTCAAAATGTAATCATTCAATGAGATGATTTTTTTTTAATTCGTTGTTAGAATAAGTCACATGGACATACAGTTCAAAGCTCCTGTATATTTTGTTGCCGCGGTTAGAAGATACGCGGTTGTTAACATATTTATTTAAAACATCGAACATTCCTACCAAAAAAACAAAATGACCGAAGATTTGCTTCTGAACTTACTGAAGCAAATTCTGTGCAGTGATGTACATTGGTTGACATCTCACTTACACAATGTAATGCTAGGCAACAGAGCTAGGTCATTTTATATAAAAGACATATATTTGTATTCAATTGACCATCATTGTTGATGCCATTATACTGTATACGCCGTACTACATGTTTGTCAATAGGCGTAGCAGTGGCAGCCTAATTATGGATGTACATGTACTATGTACCATTTGTTCAAGTTTAATGTCTGTTTAAAACTTTTTGTCATGATGTTGGCCTAAATGACAGGTATCCTGTGTACGTCTAATTCAATATCAGATCTCACGCTTTGAAAGGAATTCTTGCCTCTTTCTTGAGTAACCAGGTCACACTTTCTACACGTTAAATCAATTTTAAAAGATTGCTTTTTTGTATAGATTTTCCTCTTAGTATACTTCCAGTCTATCAGTAACTACAAGCTACGTCAGAACCCCTCCGCCGAGTATTTGTATTAAAAGTTACCCCATTTTTTTATCAACTCGCCCATCTCAGTCTTTCGGCTTCTGAAGACGATCTTAAAGTTAAAAAAAATGTCTGTGGTAAAAGACAGTCTTGTGGTTATCCGTACAGCCTCATTGTGGGATAACCTTTAATTTGAACGTCTTTTGAATGATAATGTTAGTCCACCAATATTGATTGGAATATTTATTACATGTCATCTGGCTGCTCAATTCCCCATACTGAATGTAGCACTAGCCAGACGTCAAGACGATACTGTAAGAGTTACGCCATCAGTGATTAAGCTTGGAGATGACATATCTTTTTGCACTGTTTAGCGACCCGGTGTATGGCAATGAACTATCTTAATAAAATTAGTGAAATCCCTAATGAAATTACACACTACCCCCGGAGTGATGCATCATTTTACCGTATAATTAAACGGACAGTTGATGTTGTCAAAGACTGTCCGTGACTTCTCACGTCTGAAAGTCTAACTTGACTGATTTTTAATTAGAGTTAAGTAGTGACCGCTCCTGCATTTCTATTGCCGCTGGCTTCCGAACACGTATTAAATTTTAAATCAACCTCAGTCCTAGGGTCTTGCAGTACGCTCTTTACTATAGGATACGTGGTTGAAAATAAAGTAAGCCCTTGGGACGATATTTCTTTATCTGAAATTACAAAAAAGTGACGAAAATTTTAATAAATCAAGCACAAGTAAGTGTTTGACATCTGCATAATTAGTAACAATTCTCAATGCATAGTGATAAAGAAAGGGAGAATAATTTTTCAGTGTACGCTTTATAAATATGCCGATTTGGAAGCAATAGCAGCGACGGTGGTGATATATTACAAAATAAACGAAGGGACATGAAACATCTTTGTCTCATTTATTATTAAATGTAAAGCATAAGTCATTGAGAGCAATGCTGCGGCTATTGAACAACTTGTTTTCCGACATTGTAAATCTGACGAAATAAACCAGAATGACGTAGGAAAATAATCTGTTTTATGAACGCTTAATTGTTCTCAAGTGTCGATATTGTTAACCCTATCTAATATCCCTGTTACAACCTGGCCAAACCTTTCACTGGAAATTGCTAGCATATTCAAATTAGGTTTTACCCTTCACCGACGTATGAACACTGTATACTCAGTGTGTTACCTCCCGAGTGAAAGTTGGAAAAAAAATCACTCAGATGTCTTACCACTCGACCACCGAGCTAACGGTATCAGTTGGCTGGTTCGAATCTGATGTACATAGCAGCGGGTACAGCATTAACTATTCGTAAGATGGAAGTTTGCGTCGATGTTAATCAAATTAAAAATTGAAGGGCAAAACCTAATTTGATTTACATCAGCCCGACGCAAAAAAATCCATCTTACGAATTGCTAGCATATTGCTTAAGGAATCGAGGGCTTATCAATCCTAGTACAAACAGTTTCACTGACTTGAATTTAATCGACTTGGGTTAAAATGAGAGAAATGCGTTTAACGGCTCCTTCACACCCAAAATAATTTCATATTATACAGTTTCTACATAAAATAATGCAGAATTCAAGCGAAATTCAGGATGTTGAAATTAATGTTTTAATTTTGATACACCAATTAACAAGCATTGAGTTACCCGGACTAATCATAGGTATTGAACACGATCAAATCATCAAATTCAAGAGGACACTATTAATGTACTTGATCCACATCGAAATCATTCTATAACCCCTCTCTTGTTGGTTTAAATGTTTCATGAAGTTTTTTTTTTCACCGCTCTTTGAAGCGAAGGGCTAATATCGAACTGCATAATCACTGGTACGTACGCTTCACCCACCTGCGATCTGATCTGACGGACGGTGAGAAAATGTCTACCAAATGTAATTGCAAATTGAAGACGTACAACATTTGTTGTATTTGTAAATTGGACGTGTGCTTGCAAGTCAGACTCCGGCAAAACACGCGAGCTTTTCTTGACCGGAAATCTGCAGATAAGTCCGCGGGTCCTGAAGCTCGTCTTTCCCCGTCGAGGCTGATGTCCCTAGAGGCGGTCTCCGAGTCGGTGTTCGTGTTAGCAGAGGATGACACAACGATCCTATAATAACGTAGCATGACCACCTCGGACGGCTTAAAGTCTTTGCTGCGTTTTACAGAAACGACGCCTGGTTGGATTTAAAGATGTCGTTCCTTAAGGCATTATTTGCTAATGTGTGCATGCCCCTTGTGTGCTGTCAAGACTAGAAGAAACTACCCTACGGGACTTGAAGATCTGATGAAAGAAAAAAAGCCACAGCATCAGATTTTTACTCCAGCTATCTTACTGATACAAGGAGAATGCCATGACCTTCCAATGCTTTGATGTAACAATTTAATAATTTTGTATTTTGAAGTGCCGTTTTGCCCTTGGGTGTTGTGGAGACTCTCAATGAGATTTTGTAAACAAGATGGCGCTCTAACTGTGACATTCATCGAATTCGCGTTTCTGGTGCGTGCATAACGTGGCGAACACGACAAAATAGATCCAATATAGGAAAAAAACCACAACCCATTCATTTTTTACATTTCATCATGAAAACTGTAAAGCGCTAATTAATGTATACTAAAAATAAAAAAGAGAAAACATCGTAAATAAGGATTACCTCAGATAACTTTATAAGTCAAATCATTACATAAATGTAAAGCATTGTACGGCTTAAAAGAACTTACCTAAATTCTTCTATAAAGAAAACGATTAAAAAGCATTTGGATAGCAACATGTTCAGTTTTAATTCTAACTAGATTTTTTTTTGGGGGGGGGAGACAAACGCAGGGTGATGGGACGCGAATTGTCCAATTGCAATAATGCAAAACAGGGAATGTATAAAATCTGATCTTGTTCAGTCTATTTATTAATTCGAGCAAATGCATCCTTTGGGATAGATACATTTCATTATTCATTTTATTTACAAAATACTTCTGATTTTATGACGTCATCAGTTAAAAAAAGTGCAAAAGAATACTGATTTAGTTTAGACAGGTTACATTATGCAAGGTAAGTGAAAAGAATTAATTCTTGAAAAATAATAAATAGCACGAAAGCATATGTGTAAGCATTGATTACAACTACCTTCGGGTTTGATGACGTCACAGAATAAGGATGCCCATCTTCGATAATGTTGCTGACATCATTATTGTGGCAACAATGATCCAAAATGGTATAGTGTTTTAATTTTAAAAAACGCAGAAACTTATCATTTTCCCCCCACATTCTCCCAACAATAACTTCCGGTATGACAGGGGCGGCGGAGCGCCTTTCAAACTGGGGGGGGGGGGGGGGGGGGGGGTACACCAAAAAGGGGCACTTGCTCAGAAAAAAGGGCACCTTCCGTGGGTGTGAAAGTGGGGGGAAAGAATATGGTCCCGTTCATTTCGCTATAACCTAGTTATGTATCGCCGTTCATTTTGCTATAACCTAGTTATGTATCGCGAGAGGGGCACTGTACTGCTGCTTTGGATGGCCAGTTCAGTGACAATTTTATTCGCGTGAAGAGCGCTACTATTTGTTAGGGGCCAATTTTCCATCTCGAGAGAGGCACAATTTTACTATTTAGAGAGGGGTATTTGTGCTTAAGAGGGGTAGTTTTCCATCTCGAGAAGTGCACAATCTTGTTAATGCGAGAGGGGTACTTGTGTTTTTTGAGGGGCAGTTTTGCATTACAAGAGAGGAGACAATTATATATGTAGTGCGATCTAAACGTGAACATTTGGGGGCAGTTTTGTTTTCATCTCGAGGGGGCACAATATAACCGCGAGAGGGGCACTTTTGTTGGCCTGGGAAAATCTGGGGGGAGGGGGAAGTGCCCCCCTCCCCACCACCCGGTTCCGCCGCCCCTGCAGTATAATGACGCCATCGTTCTGAAACTTCGCGAAGTAACTTTTTATTGCCACCCCCCCCCCAAAAAAAAAACACGTTTATAAGCAATTGTTGTGAGAAATGGTTTCAACCCCATCACCCATTAATGATACCAATTATAACATTCCGTCATTTCAACACTCCGACGGAGTCAAAATTGATGATAGAGGGCGCTATTATGATTGATAAAGGTCCATGTCACATACTCTTGATCAAATGAAGTGCTGTACAGTGTAAGCATCCAGTTTGTCTTTATTTATATATGATGCGACCGTATTTATCAAGCCATCCCTGATACGTAAAGAAATTTGGTACAAAAATTCTTCAAACAGATCATTTAAATAATATCTTAAGGAAATTATGCATCATCTCAGGCCCTAATCGTCCCAAGTATCAAGTATAAATTGCTGTCGAAACATGCTGCCCTGGCCGGCCTTGGCTCTGTCAATGCTGTATGAATTGCGCCCTCATGTGCACACTCTGTTACTGTATCTACATCAACCTCAGTAAGTACTAATAGTACGTACGTCTAATAAGAAGAAAAAAAAGATATTCGCCTGGAAAAATACTGTCGATATTGAGGAATAATAGGGACATTTTATTTCTTTCTTCACCCTCTACCATTTGGCCATGAATTAGTTAATTAAATAGACAAAATGAAGTCAATCGGTCTCAGATCAAAGGCTAGTTGATTGGTCAGAAACGCTGGAATCACGAGTCGAATTCGGTGCCTCGAATTGCACTGAAACGACAACAGGCACGGCAGTGATGAACTCATGATGCAGTGACGTCAACATCACCTTGACAACTGTTAAGGATTTTTTTAATGGACAAGCCATTTTCATCAACAAATTTACATTGACAGCGCGATGATATAAAAATATCCTGTGGGAGCGCGCTAATTGGGCTGGTTCTTGAATAGGCCTATACGTAGCGCCCTCATCGACAAAAGCAGTCAACTTCGATATTGCTTTTCCACTATACAATGCATGATATCAAAACCCACGCCCTTTGGGAGTGACGAACATAAAATCGACAATAGATGGAGGTGGGGTAGTTTGAATTTATGAACAAAAATGACAAAGATATGTACCAGAAACGATCATATGCCAAGTAGATCTTATTTATCAGATGTCTGCCGTTTGGGCGGTTATATGGCTGTCTGTCGTGTCCTTCGGGGGTGCACTTGAAAATGATAAAATATTTGTATGTTATATTTTTAATACTTTTCTGTTACAAATATTGTGAATGTACTGTATACAATAATTGTTCAGGCTTTCCCTAGCAAGGTTTTTGGTCTCTTTGCATTACGTAACGTATAATGCAATATTGCTATATAATTTTGTTGACCACAAGTTACAAGTATTGAAATAAACATTTAGTAAATTGAATTGAATGAAACAACTAATGGTTGTAAAAGTTGTGCACAATAAAATGGCATTGGTCTGAACTGGTTTACTTGGAATCTTTTACAGACTTAATCCTCTCTCATTCTTGCTACATGATTGTTTTAAGTTTATGCATATGAGGAGGAATGTCTTATACGAGAGGCGTGCTGTGAAAATCAAAATGAAAATCAGTTACAGTTACGTTCATCCCCGTGCTCAACAAAATCGATTTTGTTTGCCCTACTAAACATTTTAAACGTTTGTCTTTGATTCCACCAAAAGACCTCTCCCTGTGAACACAGAATTATTATCAAACAGCCAATATTTCGAATTTGTTAAGTACTCATTCAAAAAAATATCAATTTAGAAAAGGAATCAACTTTTTCGGCATGAAACTCAAAAATTGCATTTAACCAAAACTAAAAGTACTAACGTCATAACTGGGTGCGTTCGTTTAGCTCACCCGGGTCGACATGGGTCAGCTCCGTGCCGTTCGATAAGCTCTGACGTCATTCTCGTGGCACACTCGGGTCAGCCACCACAGACCCTGGTCGGAGCAGAGTGGTGGAAATACGTCACACGCATGCGTTGTTCATTCCATGACACGGACAAAATAAATATGGCGGCCAGACGGCGGAAATGTCAAGTGGACTTAACAAAATAGCTTTATTTCAAGTCTAAACGTAATCAGTTTATTGAGTTCATTGCGA